TGGTCTGATCATTACTTCCATGGACATGGTCTGATCATTACTTCCATGGACATGGTCTGATCATTACTTCCATGGACATGGTCTGATCATTACTTCCATTGACATGGTCTGATCATTACTTCCATTGACATGGTTTGATCATTCCTGACATTGAATCTTTCTTTGTGTTTCTTCCCTTCCTCCTTTCTCTCTGCTCTCACCACTGGGCCAAGAACACTACTCTAAACATAACCTATATTTATCTGTACAGTAGGCCAAGAACACTACTCTAAACATAACCCATATATGTTTAGTAGGTGGAAAATTTGGAACACAAAGTAGGCCTCGATCTGATCATGATGAAGAGTGTTGTGACTTTGATACATGTTTATTATTTCTTGACTGACGTGACCTTAATATATTATTTCCCTTTGATCGGGTGATGCCATTTTAACATTCCTTTACTTCCGGAGCTCTACCCTGGGAGGTCAGTGTAGCCTCGATAGATTGATGTCACTCGGACAGGTTGATGTGAACTGGACGTTGTGATATATATGACCTCAGCAGATAGATAGATGGGACCTTAACAGGACGTAGATCGAGGGATAGAATTGTAGCAGTCTCTACTTGTATTTACTCATGGAGCTCGGGCTGTTTTTAGCTCGCCGACCACTCCTGCCTGGTCAGTCAAAGCCCTTTCTAGGATGATTTGTAGAAATTATGATTGATAAATCAATTATATAGATTGTTTATCTGGGGAAGTAGAATATTACTAGTAGGACAAAGATGTTTTATAGCTTTGCCATTTCCTGTAAGGATGCTTGTGTTAATGTCATATCAATCCAATTGTTTGTACTTCACATCTCACTTTGTTATATGTACACTATAGCAGTTTTACAGTACTGTACTCTTGAATTGGTGTGAGAGGTGAACAAGTGTCTTGTTCAAATGTTGAAATAAAACTGTGTCATCAAATTGAAATTGACATTGCTCAGGGGAGAAGAGATAGAACCTTTGGCTTATGTTCAAGAAAGTCTGTCCATTTCACTGCCTGTTGGGTCAAAGTGTTAGTATTTCAAAGAGAAATTTCACCTTTGAAAAGCTGAAAGGGTTTCAGGATAGTTTTCTGACTTGCATGTAGACCCTGAGTTTGGGAATGAGTCTTGATATAATGGAAAGCTTTAGCGCGTGTGGTGAGGAGAATGAGGGACCAGCTGATTGTTATAATATGTATCAATATCTTGGGTTATATGCCAAAGAAAGCCCAGCGGAAACATCACAAGACTGTCGCTGCAGTGGAACCCACAGGGAGCACGAGGCAGGGGTAGGCCACGGGAAACATGGAGGAGATGCGTGGAAAGGGACATGAGAGAGATGAAGCTCACTTGGAACGAGCTTGGAAGGATGGCTCAGGACAGAGATAAATGGAAGGAGCTTGTATGTGGCCTATACCCTGCCAGGGGTGAAAGGCATTGATGATGATGATGATGATGATGATGATATGCCAAAGTAGAGATGACACATAGTCTGACTAAGGTGCAGTTTTGAAATGTCCCCTTGACAGTGTTTGATGGGTTGTGCTCTTGAAAAGAAACTCAGAGTGAGAAATGTCAGATGAACTCAAAAAGTGGTTCTTTCTTTCTTAATTTTCATTTATGCAGCAAATACCTTAGCCCTTTGTAAACAGCCATAATCCACTGGTCGTGGTGTGATGTGATGTGAACTTTTTAGGTGCACTGCTCCTACATATCTTGTTGGAGGTTTCAGGTGTGACAAGTTTTACTGCACAAACCACGTTTGCCAGTTTGGAATATTAGTTTGATATATGTGTCATGACACGATGGAATCGGGCGCTCGTCAATTTTGGGACATCTGGAGTACGGGAACTCTCTTAAAGCTTGTTTAGCTGGCTTGTTTTCTGTGGGGAAAAAATACCCATCTATCTTGAATAGAAATCGAGATATTTGGGATTGAAGGAGTTGGGGGTCGCTGGTTTCAGAGGTAAAATCAGGGAGAGAATGGCCTCCGAAGTTTGGTGATTTCCATAGCTTAAAGGTCCTTGGAGATGGAAAATGTACATTTTTGGTAACTAGAATCGTTTTTTCTTGTAACACCCACACGGGAAATGTGCTTTGAAATAGACATGAAAGTTGTGGAGCCAAAAAAAAAGAATTCGATAAAAATTTTCCAACCGGGGGAAAATCTTTGTTTCTCTGATTTCATGAACTTGACGAGCGCCTGATTGCACCACGTTGCCTCACATGTGTGTGTGTATGTGTGTCACTTGTAGTGATGTGTGTGTGTGTGTGACTTGTAGTGGTGTGTGTGGGGCCTATGACAATAATCATTGTTGTGATTGCTTCAAGGCAAAGAGGCCAAATGTTGTACGTCTTCCCGAGCTTGGTGCATACAAAAATACTGATTGTGTTGGTATGTTTGTGTGTTTGTATGTTATGAAGGGAAGTATGTCATGCAAGTGAGCAATGTTCTCCGACTGCCTTACATTTTTGAATGCTGTTTTACCTCCATTCTGTTGTTGTCCTGATGTTTGGGAAGTGTCTGTGGTGACGGGCTGTGTGACGGGCTGTGGTTTTGTAAGATTTTTGTACATTCCAACTTCTGGAGTTTGAACTTTCAATTGTTTCCTG